ATGCCGGCTCAGAATTGAGTGCACTTTCGATCTATGAGGAAAAGAGCCAAGCCAGTCATACATTTTTTCGAGATGAATTACGATTAACTTCGATTTTCATCGATTTTTCCCCATTTTTCGAGGTCTAGTCATTCTGGTTCTAACCTTTTACGCTGATTTTTTTTTTTTTTCAAAATTTCTTTATTGCTTCATCAAGATGACCTTAATGTCTTTCCAATAAGCTAAGAGTTGCCGTGATTTAATTGGAAAATACCCCATCTACCTGTGATCAAAAATGGCCGAAAAATAGAAAATTGCCGAAAAAAAATTTCAACTTCGGGATGCGATTTTTTTTAAAACGAATTTTCCCAGATATGACACATACGCCAAATCATCACATATTTAGTTCCCAAAAAACCCCTAGTTTTTTGATTTTTTTCATAGACAAATTTTTTTTAAAATTTGGATTACGTAAAAAAAGTCATGGTCATTTTTCGCCGAAAATGTCACATAACACACCACTTCGTGGACATTTTTGAAATTTTTCCATTCTGACTTTGGATCCAGAAAGGTGAGTCTTGTACCTTTCCAACAACGTATAAATCATTGAAATACCTTTCAGATAGCCAGAAAAATATCCAATTGATGAAAAACTCAAAAAAGGCCTCCCAAAAATGTTCGACCCCAGGCCCAAGAGATATGGGAGACGAAATCGAAAATTTCAAAAGCACATATATTCTCAGTTTTCCATCTACTTTCAATAAAAATTACAAAAAAAATGTTTTTTCAAAAAATACGGAAAAAAAGAGGACATACAAACACCCCAAGCGACCAATTTTGAGGTTTTTGGCCATTTTTGGTAAAATGACCATATTTAATCCACTTTTCAAGCGATCGTGATGATATTTTTTTTAACATTATCTAAGCAGTCCCTAGATTCCGAAAATGTAAAAAAATAAATTCGAAAAAAGCATGTCGGTGGTCAAAAATTGAGAAAAAGGAATTTTCAGCGATTCTTTCAAAATGCCACCTGGCGGCCAAATTTTGAATTTTTTTAAATTTTTTTGCGGATTCTTATTTTGGTGCCCGAGCACTACTAAAATATGCAAAAAACCCTTTACAAATGTCAGCGGTATCGATTTTCATTTCTTTAACGTATATATAGACGTAACATAAAGACGTTTAACATATATATAATTGACGCAAAATATACATATTTCATATGTATGGGGGTATTGCGTCACTTGGGGGACTGCCGTCCCCCGTGATATCATTTTTTTTTAAACTTTACTCACCTACGGGCTCATTCCCTCCGTAGTACCGTTGTACTGTTCTTGCAGCAACCGGTGCAAAACAACTGTCTGTGAAGCAGCAACATCACCCTGGACAATTAATGGCCAATTTTTGTGGGTAACTTTAACCTTTGACATTAAACGCTAATTCCGAAGTATTTCCTCCACATCCTGATAATTGCCATTGCGAATTCGACGCTTAATTTCCCTTCGTCCCTTTTGTAAAGCACACTTGCTAACCGTTGCTACAATTATATCTGGTAGACTATAGCGACTGAGTCCGGTAGTCCAGCAATCGGTTTCGCTTTGCAACCGTAAAACACTTTGAATCGATGCGGTTTTGTGTTCGCTGGAAATCGTTCTTGGCAATTCACGCATGTTTGTGATTTTCCCCATTCATCTTCCATTTTCACCACCGAATGGCCAAGTTTCTTGACGATCACCAAAAATTTCGGAGATCCTGGACATCTTTTCCGTCTCTTCCAACCAAATGGCCGATTGGAGGGCATCTCCGATGCACCAAAGATAATTATTGACGGCATGTTGTTGGTCACTGTCACGGCGATGTTATCATTTACTTGGTTCGACTTCATGTAATGATCAAAATCCAGTCGTGAATATTTACGCGTTTCATATGCTGACATTGTACAAATCCAATAATAAGTACAAATCCATATGCTGACATTCCTTTTCGTAGCATTTTGATGCGATACTCAATGTACTATTTCCATGTTGAATCACGCGGTGATGGTGGACCGAATGGATATGTCTTCAGATGATTCTTTTCTTCGATATCAAACCATCCAGCTAATTTTTGCGCCTCTTTTTCTCTTCGTTTCTGCTGAGTTCCCCAGTAAAATCGCGTGTTTGGTATTGTGATGTTTTCCTTCATAATTCAAATTGATAAAAAATATTGAGTTTCGATTCAAACACATTTCAAATTACATTTCAAAATATCCCACCTCAACGGCCGGTTCATCAGGTGTTTTCCGGATGTTGCGACGCGTTATAGCCAACCACGTTTTTTCATTCGGATCGATGCCAATAGCGTATTTCTTGCCTACAAGATTGTCCGCCTGTAAATGCACATTTTCGTTGCACGCCTTCTCTGGTTTGATGTACAGTGCCGATACGGAAACACTATTAGTCACGATTTGATGATGGAATTGTTTAGATCGTTTGCCCAATTGGTCGATTTTATCGACGTTGAACAACAAATTCGATAGTCCATCTCGATCATGATCTCTGTAGTATTTTTCGGGGTATTTATTTAGCCGGTTGGTCTCAGTATTCATGAATCTGGGCACAAGAGCAAAACTGTTTATTCTCCGTGGTCGATTGTTTGTTGGCTGTTGAAAGTTGGGATTGTTACGGAATATTTCGTGAATGGTATTCTATTGTGTGGTATCACTGTGATAAGCTGCTATCTGACGTTGAATTTGTCCGAACAACCACAACGATTCAAACCAATGATCTTTTACAAAAAAATTCATGCATTTTTTGCGTCGCCATCAATTGCGACCAGATCATCCAATAAAATGTTGGCCTTTTCTATTCTTTCCACATTACCATTTGTCAAGTCGTTGTATCGATATGCTAACATTTTGGCATTTCTGATGTTGATGCCATCAAATCTCGGACCATTGATGTTGTGATTGCGATAACAGCATCGCATTCGAAAGAATGACTCAAGAAGATCTTCACACCAAGTGGTGAGACCAGTTTTCGTATTTGCGATGTGCTGTTTGACAAAATAGCGAAAACCATTCTCCAACTTTTCTTTGCTTGGCCATTCGAACTGATCATCACTGAAGTTTTCGACCATGAACCGAAACTCTGGCGGTATGGGATTTCGGCTATTATTATTGTAAACATTTCATCAACTTCCGTCATTTGAAGACTGCGCTTAAACAATATTTGCGTCAAAACTGCTGCATGCTCGGGATTGTTTGCAAGCCACATTTTATTGCAACGAAATTATTTTCTTCTTCTCTTTCGTCATCGTATACCGGCGAATCATTGTTATCTCTTTTTCTTTTCATTCTCGAAGAACTGATACAAAAAACGAAAATAAAAAATAGACACAAATTTAGAAAAAAATGTACCAAATATATATATCGATATATATGTCTATCGATCACAAACACAATAAGATAAAAACACTTCTATCACAAATCAAATGAAACAGTAATGAAGAACGCATTATAAATATGACGTCTTACCTCAACAAAGTGACCCTGTGTTCTAAATCGAATGATGAAATTTATTTCCAATGTAACATCAAATATTTTCCCGATCGAAATGTTGTTGGAATATTCACATAAACAAAATCGGTTGGTGCGATCATAGCTTCAAAGTGATGGAACTTGTTTATACTAACAATACTGTCACACGATGCGAGCGCATTTTTAATACATATAAATGAATATCGTTGGATTTGGTTTGACACATATACACCGCGCCAATCGAAAAATATCAGAAAGATGTGAGTTGCATCTTGAAAATTGAAAATACTAATTCCACAAATAAAGAAAATTAAATGCAATAAATGACGTATAAAAGAGTTCTACTGCAGAGTTTTAAATTAATATTGAAAAATCTCCCTTCTAGAATGTTGAGGATAATATAATAAAAAAAATACTCAATATATTTTTAATTGCTTATAAACAACATCTCTTTTTCATAACTGTTTGTTTTACAGTTTTTGATGATATGTCTGAAATTTCGATGGATTAAAAGTAAAAACATATAACGAATAATCTTTTTAGATAGCCAAAAAATGACAAATGAACTCTGAAAAACTAAATGCTCGACGAAAAAGTTGTTTTTTAACATTTCGATAAAATAATAATAACTGATGCTTAAAATATACTTAAAAGGTTAAATTTATGATTGCTGCTGTTTGAATCAATTAATTCTGAAAATTATTTAAACTGATCTTTTAAAAATATATTCGGGAAAAGAATTCAATACTTTTGGATTTTTATTAAAAAACTCTAAATGATATATTTTACAAACCACCAGGCGAAGGAACGCTTATTCGGAATTTTATTGCAATTATTTTTATTCAACGAACGAACAATTTTTTTTGTTACGAATGTTCGTTATGATATATCAATTATATAAATTATAAAATACCTCTCGTGTTTTGTGTTTTCGTTTATTTGTCATTATTAATTTGTGTGAAACGAACCATCATAAATTGAGTTCCAAAAACAACACAAACCCTGTTAATCAAGTAGCAAAACGCAAAAACTATTTAAAACCATTACATTCAGTATTTTGAGCGAATATTATCTTCCAGATTTTCTTATTCAGTTGCCAATGATAGCAAAAAGGTAACATAAAATATCTTCCATCGTGTGTAATAAATATATTCAGCTCAGCAAAAAATCCGAGAAGAGTTATTTTAAAAAAAAATTAACTGGCACACAAATTTCCAAACACCGCCTTTGAAAAATGCTCACACAATTTATTGAATCAATAAACAAAATGTTATTTTATTTGAAAAAGGAACGCCTTTACTCTATTGTCTTAAGGAAAAATAGCTATCGTTTAATTTAATTTAACAGGCAAATGAATCTGTTGTAAAATTAGAAACAAAAAATAACAAACTCAAAAGTAATAAAATAAAATAAAAACTCAATAAAAGTGTGTTTAACTCAATACTCAAAATCAAAATATTAACTGGAAACAAATGATTGACAAGAATACAATGAATATATTTACTTTATTCTTATATTTGCACAAAAATTATTTTAAAAAAAACGCTTTCAGGAACGTTTTCTCCGGTTCACTAATTGTTTAAAAAGAATATGTGCGAAAATAATATATATTACTATAGTATGGTGAATATTTTACACGAGTACAAAACGTTTTCTGTTATGTTAAGTTTAACATGTCGGTTACTATGATGAACTAGGCGGATTGCTTTTGTCTTGATTGGAATCAATAGTTTTCTTTGTATTGTTGTCGAAATAAGTATTGAAAATTTTTTGGAAAAGGCTAAAAGTTCATATTTTTTCGCGCTGATTCTGTCATATTGGTTAGATAATACGAAAGTCCACGCTAAATATAGCCAGACTTCATGATAAGAACTATTAACATTGTTCCTTAAATTGAACCAAATTTAATTTTTCATTTATTTGTTTGATTGATTGATGGTTGATTTGTTGAATGAGCGATGTGTAGTGTGTAAACGATGCTCGTATTATCAGTTTTCGTCGTCGCTACCGCTACCGCTATCATTACTATCATCACTGTTGTCAGACAATTCACTGTCGCTCAAATCGATTGCATCTTCTTCGCTGCTTGACGACCACCATGACTGATCCGAATCGTATTCAGCTTCATTGGAATTTTTTGATGTTTGATACTGAAATGTAAACATAAAAATCAAATTCACTTTACACATTACATATATTCAAAAATTGTATTCAACAAATAATGCAGCTCACCTTTTGATGCTTTTTACGCTTGTTTTCATCAAATTGTTTGAAGCGTCGCTCTGCATGCTGATCTTGTATCTTGGCATCGACTGTGAATGCATCTGGCAATTTTATTAAAATTGGATATTAGATTCAAAGTTATATAAAAAAACAAATGATTCACTGTAAACATACCGCGAAGACGAATATTTCGACCGGCATTAGTGTCTCGATTTAATGTGACCGAACGGACTTTTGTCGTATCAACAATATCATCATCATTTCGTATGTATTTCCATGTGATGACATCTAGACGCCGACGTCGCAAATGTGTTCGTGGCCTCTTCACTGGTAATATCGCAGCATTTTCAGCAGCCGGCACAAGCCTTCCATCGACCATATTGAAGCGTTTCAGTTCGACTTTTGGATGGCAGCCATCTTCGTCCGAATACCGTAGTCGATATTTTTTCTGCTTCTTCAATTGTTTTGAATTCTCGTGACTGTAAATGAATGAACCGCCATCGGGCAGTGCTTCTGGCGATGGTTTACACTGGCGACGCACTTTGAATCGAGTTATCGTTGTCTTTCGGCCATTCTACGAACCATTTTCCAAAATCTTAACGTATGGTCGGCGTACGTTTCAAAATCGTTCGTCCTGCTGCTCGGCTGTACATGGTCCTCACACTCCCGTTCGATCCGCTCACGATCGTCGGCTCTGTCGTCTTCAAGCGTACCAACCAGTCGATCTCGTTGTTTCTTGAACTGTGGCAATTTCGTCATCCAATGATATTGCTTGCTGGATATTTTGAAATTGCGTACGCTTTTCACTTTCACAGCGCCCGTATCATCTTTCTCTCGATCGATAATTTGGCCGGCAATGATCTCACGATCGCCAACATCAAAGCTTACTTTGCGATCGCAGTGGCGTAATATATTTCGTAGCCGTTCTTTGGTTTCAGCATCAGTTGCATCGTTTTTCTTCTTCGTCTTCTTCTCTTTGTTCATCAGAAAAACGAATGCATTGCCATCGGTTTGTATTCGATTGACGAATGTTAAGCCGGCCGAATGGCGTTCGATTTTACTGATGCCAAAATATTTACGCCACATGCGATCCCACAGTTCTTTGTTGCCATTGAACGGTTGTTCCCATCGTTTATTACTGCCATTGTTCTTTTTCATTTCCTGTTCCTTTGGATTTTTCAACCGCTTAAGGATTTCGTAGAGGCCACGCTTATCGATTTGGATGTAGATATGACCAAAACGTGCCTCCGGAATGACTTGATACACGGTCAAATTTGGCGCACATCGAACCCATGTATATTTGACACCTGGCAATCGTTTTCGTGGCACATATTCGGCAATTGGACGACAGATTGATTTCGATTTCGATTTAGTGTGAGTGGTGGTTTTATGAATTTTACCTGCTGCTTCAGCCTGAAGTTTGGCCTTTGCTGCGGCAACTTCAGCCGGTTGGTTCTTTTCATCTTCATCCATTTGTTTATTGATCATGAGACAGCGTTCACGATTTCTTGCACGACAATATTGCTGAAGTTGTATGAAAAATGGCACATGACGATACCAATTTGTTGTCAATTTGGAGAAATAACCGCGTCGATTCGCTTCGAAATCCATCGGATTAAAATCGGTTTGAATACGCTTCAGAAGACGTTCGATAGCTAGTGTCAATAGAATTGGATCACGTTTTCGTTTTGGCTTTTTCATTCTCTGCCTCGTCGCTGAACAAATAGCGCATTGTATTGGTGATCAATTGGTAATTCGCTTTGCGTATCTGTTTCAATGTTTGACATTTTTGTGGCGGTGGTGGTGTTTTGGCTCGTGATGTGCTCGCAACCGGCTCATTTGATTTCGGATGGTTTGCCAATTCTTCGGAAATCACACAATGATTCAAATACGGCCGAACATTATTATACAGACTACGTATGATACACATCATGAAATTGGTGAAATATTGCCGAGTGACATAGGTGAAAATGTTACCATAACCAATTGCATTTTTCTCAATGACTTTGTGCTTCCGACAGAACTTGATTATAGCCTGATCCAATTTCCATGTTTTTTGCAATTTTGTCTTGCCATTGATACGATTACCATACACACCACGAAAATAACCATCAAAATAATTTCGATTGTATTCACACGTACTGTTCCAAAATTCGGTACGAATGGCATCTTCATTGTTCGATTGTATGATTCGCATGAGGCTACAGTGTACGTTGAGTGCGCCAAGTCGCCAAGTGTGACTCATGTCCGTGACAATTTTATTGATAATGCTAGCCAATTCATCCTTATTCTCTAGATTTTCATTGAACGACTTACGTTTGCCCATTTTGATCGATTGGTATCTTTCTGAATCCTCATCACCATTGTCGCCATCGTCACCATCATTGAAATCATCGCTGACATTATCATTATTCAATGTATTCGGCATACTGGTGGCACGAGTTGTTCGCTTCTTTGTTGCCGGTGCATTTGCAATTGTGTTTGCTCGCTTCTTTCGTTTGGCCGGTATTGTTTTTTGTCGTGCATTGCTAGTATTCGATTGTGATTGTTTTAGACGTGTACCTGATGCGACTGTATCACCGGTTGATGTTGGTGTAGACACATCGTTCCGATCGGCAACAGTAGTTGTATTAGTATCAAATAATCAAATCCATTTCGTAAACGCTGCAAGGCTTCGACAAGACTCCGTTCGAATTTTTCCACCAAATCTTCGACTTTTCGCTTAACGTTTGAATTCAATTTGATGTTCCGAGTGAACTGATTCAACTGTGTGCTCAATTCATTTGCAATTGTTTCAACTGTGTGTAGAGAGAAATGTGATGAAAGTATGAGTGACACTTCTTCATATACTAAATCATATAAAATCAATGAAAATCTTCAAAAAAAAACTATTTAGCCATTTTTCTCCCATTTCCGATTTAATTTCATATATTTATATATCAAATAAAAAACCTCTATCGAGGTGAAGAACGAGTGACGAAACCAAAATTTGAAACACAAAATTTCTGATATCAATTTTGTGACGAACATCGCATTGTTTTTTTTCTATCGCTCATCGTTTATTTAGACTATTTTCATTTTTAAAAATATTTTTAGTTCCTTAAAAAATAAAATTATTTGTACAATAGCAAAACAAACTTATTTGCTATAGTTGAAAAGTGAAGTTCAGTCATATTTAGTCGATTTGATAGAAAACTAAAAAAAAGAAACATTGCATTGAGAATCACAGTGACAGCAACACAATGGAAAAACAACAACAACAAGAAAAAACATACCATTGCTGCACCGAAAACAAGTGTACCGGTGCCAAATATAATGCTTTGCATTTCAAATGCATTTTCTGTGCAAGCAACATTTACATCGAGTGTTTAATCAAAACAAATAAACAAATGGAAAGACTATTGATGCAATTTGGATTAATTAAACGTACAATAATGCCAAATAGCAACAATTTCACATTTACAAGCGACGTATACAAAGAAGATGAGTTCAATGACATTTTCAATGGAATATCGCCGTTACCAGTGTGTTGTTCAAAATGCATGCATTTGTTCAAAGTCAAAACGAAAAAAGATGATGCAAATACTGACGATGGCAATTATCATGATGCAACTGAGCATTTATTTAACAAAAATGAAGTCGAAAAAATGATCAAAAAAGTTGGTGACAAAGTGATCGGCTCAATCAACAATATTTTCAAAAATGAAATAGAAATGTCTCTTTTTGTAAAAGAATCAAACGACATCATCTCAGTCAACACAACGATCGATAATTCAACAACTATTGGTGCAAGTGTTCAGGTAAGAACGAATGATGAACGTGAAAAAGAAAAGAAAAGACTTAGAAACCAACGATCGCGTCGAAATAAGAAGAAGAAGAAAGCAAACAAAGAGCAAAACAAAATTAATATCAACGTCAATCCGGTTCCATCATCATCTCGTCAGCCACAAACAGACCCAAACACATCGAATAGTCAAAATAAACACGACAATCATCCACCAACCGCTCCCACAAATGATGCCACACGTCAAAAACAGCTATTTCATCATCAAAACCAGCCGAAAACACATACACGTCACAACATTCAGCAAAACCAACATCAATCAATGGCACCATTTGAAAATTTTGAGGCAAGTCGATCGTTCCAACAAAGAAACTGGGTCACAGTAAGACACCAGAACATCGACCGTCAGAGAAATAACCACAATTCCATGCAGAATTTTGCAGAAAATCGACCAATCAATAAATCACATTATGCAAATTGTGACTGCCGTAGTTGCTTTGATGACTATGAGCGACGATATGCAAATTTTCAAAGATTTCGGAGAGGTGTTCGTCCGCCGGCACATCGTTGGCAGACCAGGCACTTCAATTAAACATCGATTCAAAAGATGCTGCCAATTTTTCTTTGACAACTAAGGCGAGTGGTCTCCCAGAAAAATTGACTATGCAGCTCACAAAATGTGAATGGCCTACGTTCGAAAATTCCCGAATTTATTGCTGATGTAATGGCCAAACAATCATCAATTGTTCAACAGTCAACAATTTATATGCTTTGCGAAACACATTTGGACAACGCTATCAATACAAACGATATTTTTCCACCAATGTACAGTGTTCATCGATGTGACCGTTCAACGAATACAGAGAGAGACTAACTACATCCAAAGGAGAGAGGCGGCGGAGTATTGATAGCTGTCAACAACAAACTAAAGTCAGTTTGCATCGGAACGGGTGACCATTTCGGAGCAGAACAAATTTGGGTAAAGGTTACCAGCATGAGAAGGAACATCTTTTTGGTTGAATTGTACATCAGACCAGACTCAACTCTCAAAGTATATGAAAACAACATGTATGCTTTGAAAGAACTAGCTTCAAAGTTGAGTGAAAAAGATGTTTTAATAGTATCTGGTGACTTCAATCTGCCCAAATTGATTTGGTTTGTTGACGAGAATGAGGACCCAGACATTGCAATTGCTATCAATGCAGCCAGTGAAAAAGAGAAGATAGTGCTGGATACTTGCTATGAACTGGGACTTCACCAGATTAACAAGAATTACAACCAAAATGGTCGTATGCTTGATATGATCTGGACGAATGATGTTGAGTTGTTTCAATGCACAATAAGTGACTATCATTTATTGAATTTTGAAAAGCACCACAATGCAATTGAAATCAGATATAATGAGCCGGTCGTCAAAACCATTGAAACAAGACAAACATATCGCGACTTTATAAATGCAGACTATAAGCGAATAAATGAGTCGCTTCTTGATATAGATTGGCATAGTGTTTTTGATACAAGTTCATTACAATTGAAACTAGATAATTTTTATACAATTATTAAGTCAACAATTGAAACACATGTACAGTTAAAGACAAAAATCAACAGGAAACAACCGATTTGGTTTACCAAGTCATTGGTTGAGTTGAAAAACATGGTCAGCAAAGAACATCAAAATAAAAAAAGGCTCAACACAGTTGAATCAATTGAACATTACAAAGAAATAAGAAGGAAATATAAACGTTGTGCACGCTCAGCTTTCAGAGATTACAGAATAGAGATGGAGAAACAGATAGATGATGACCCAAAGAAATTTTTCAAGCACGTAAATTTCAAAAAAGGGAAATGTGAAGATCTACCACATGAGATGACTTATTTAAATGAAAAAGCAAGCGATCAATTAACAATTGCTAGTTTTTTTGCAAAACACTTTGGCAACGCTTACAGCTCTTTAGAAGGTGATCTGCGATATGACAGCTCGGAAATAGAAAAAATACGTGATATTTGTGCTGAAATATCAATGATCGAAATAACCGAGGAGCTTGTAGGTCAACATATAAGCATGCTGCCAGATGATCTTGTCTGTGGTCCTGATGAAATTCCAAACAAATTTATCAAGCATTGTTTGGTTTCATTGCAGGGGCCAATCTCAACACTGTTAAAAGAATCACTTGAAACTGCCTCTGTCCCGCAGATATGGAGAACGTCATTTGTCAGACCAGTCTACAAAAACGGCGATAGAAACAACGTTCAAAATTACCGGGGTGTTGCTTTACAGTGTATTTTGTCAAAAATTCTTGATTCGATCGTCACAAACCATCTCAATCTGTATTTGAAAAACATGATCCACGAAAGTCAGCATGGATTCATCAAGAACAAATCAACGATAACGAATTTAGTGAAATTTTCTTCAAAAACTATTATTAACATGGGAAGAAGACATCAAACAGACGCC